TCTCCTCTCCTTCAGCATGAAATCATAACCTACCTTTTTTTTTTTTATTGATTTCTAACTAACTTTTCAAACATAACCTAAGTAAGAGTGATTGACTAGGTTGTTCTTTCTCAATCTTATTTGTAACCCATTTTTAAAAATTTAAAAGGCTCAGACCTGGAGCAATGTGGGTTACATTTGGAGGAATAATGATCCAGTTCTTCACCCTTCTTTCCACCCAATCCATAGATTTAAAAATGATTACATATCTTGCATTGGAAGAAACAAGAAAGCAGTGGGATCCCAGAACAGAAATAATATCAGCAACGAAAAGCCACTGACACCCTAGGCAACTTACTGACACCAATTTCAAAAGCTCAGTCATTCAGAATCCCTGAATGAAAGATAAACTAGGTGGAATATCCAGGAAGATCTTGGTGGTATGAAGAGAAAATACTCTAACTCCTAAAATTGCCAAAGAGAGACTAGACAGAATCAACACATGATCAATCCAGGTCAGAAACGGAAATCGCCTTCTATTTTCTTCTCACCTTCATAAAATAAAAGTCATATGAGGTGTGTGGAAAGTAACAATAATTATAATAATATAAAAACAATTAGTATTCATTAATGTCTCACTGTACCGTATTAGACACAATGAAAATTATCTTCTATCTATTTTATAATTACAATTTTACAAATTCCCTCTGAGGTAGGTAATATCATTGTCCTCATTTTGTAGCTTTATTGTCCTTGAGAAATAAGTTATCCAAAAGCAATTACCTTTGAGACTCTTAATTGCTACTAAAAAAACACCATGTTCTCTGAGAGCTAGCAGCTGCAAATTGACTCTTACATGTAGACTTCTCTCAAATATTTTTAAAATTGAACTAATAATCTGGGATCGGTCTATGATTCAAAAATCATAAATCAAATACCAGATAAGAGGGACCCTTCCTTGTAACAGATGCTTGGCATCTGCCTTGCTTGTTTTCCCCATCTATTCAGTTTTTTCAGGATGATCCCAGATGAATGCTACATGAGAATGGTGATAGTAAAAATTCAAAGTTCTAAATACCTAAGAGTGAATCATACTTTTGCCATAAACTAGCTATGTGAGATTTTCACCAGTTGCTTCTGTTTATTGGAGTTTCAGTTTGCTCATATAGAAAATGAAGTCTTAAGATAATTGCCTTCTAGTTGACCTGTAAATATACAAGATAATGTATGTGAGGTGTCTTGTGCTGTGGTTGACCTATGCCACTCCCTTCGAAAATATTCATTAGCATTTCAAATTCTTCCTAGCTCAGTATCTCCCTCCATAGCTGCTGATAGAGAGAGATTTAATAACTACAAACGTGGGCACCAAGTATCCTAAAAGCTATCCCAGTTCTTGTTTCTAATGTCAACCTTAATCCTCTTCCCGACAGAAAAACGGAAAAGTCTTCTGTGGTCCAAGATAGGCCATTCACCCTTAATTTAGCATGTATTAGATTTACATTTAGTCCTTTCCTCTGGATAACTTGTTTGAGAAAAAAGTGTTTCTCTTTTTTTTTTGTTTGTTTTTTTTTGTTTTTTGTCCCCTTTCCAATTTTTTCTTCTCTTTTTATTTATTCTGTGGCAATTCCTAAGCAAAATAAATAAAACTAAGTAGTTAAAAATATATAGAGAAGAAACAGAAGTTGTGCTCAGAGACATCCAACATGTTATAAACAGATCTAGAACAAATAAAAATAAGCAATTTTGAGATTGATCAAGGGAAAAAAAGAACCAGTCACATCATACATTATTGTGATTCTGAGCTTGAGAAAATAAACCAAAATGGCCGGCCCTGTTTGGAGAGAGATGTGTCTACTGTTTTCAGGCAAAGCTGCAGAGAGCTGGTTAAAAGTAAACTAGATCCTTATGCTTCCTTAGAAGGAAGTAGAGAGGGGTTGTCTGTAAAAGATAACTTTTTCTATAAGAAGGGAGCAACTCTGATTTGAGAATACCTCCCTGCCATGGCCAAGCAGAGGCTGACTGTATTCCCAAAGTAGATTTTCTGTTTTAACCCTATAATAATGGTTTTCAGAGAACTCTGAAAAACACAGCTTCTTTCTCTTCTTGCTTCAAGGATCCTCTGGGTTTATTTCCATCATTAGTTGAAACAGTAAAGCTAAGCTAATGATTCTGTGTGCATTTTAAGGTCTGAGGATTCAAAGAAAGGTCAGTTATCCTCCTCTGCCCTTCTTTTACCTTTATTGGGGTTGAGGTATCAGCAGTGATTACTGGTGATCTCCTTACACTTTTCTGCTTGCTGGATTAAAACCTGGGATGGAGCCAAGAGTGACAATAGCTTTGCATTGAAACTGAAAAAGAATTTAAATTCTATATGCATGTTGCCATTCATGTTTATTTAATGCACAGGCAGTTTGGCATTCAGGAGATAGTGTGGCAATAATGTGATGAGGGTCATGCTAACAAAGACCAGTTCCTTCAGATACTTGCATTCAAATGAGACACAAAACCATACCTATGGCATTTGTGGACTTTATGCTTGAGCTATGTTATTTTGTTGATTTTGTTTTCTTCTTCTTTTTTCTTTTGCTAAATGCAGTGCTTCAGGGAAAGGGACATGGATAGCCTCAAAATGGATTAGTAGACATTTGATTGGAGATACATTTGGAATGAAATGAAAGTAAAGTCACTTATTGTGTGTGATTGAAAACAAATAGGAAAGCGTGGCACATAAAATTATGTATGATAGCACTAATGGGAAAAGGGGGGAAGAATGTCAAGAATAGTCAGAAAAATAAAGTTGTTTCTGGCTGTAAATTGAATTATTATTTGAGTATGCAAAGACAGAAATGATGTTGAATTGGACAGCACTAATATTATGGGTTCTGTTCTAAATCCATGGATAGCAGTTTATACTGTTTTGTAAGCATCATTTTTAGTTCCCAGTGGAGCATATATAGGGAGATTATAGTGCTATTGCCTCATCTTTTTTTTAACCATCATCGCATTGTCTTTTATGAAGCATTGTTTCTGTCTTCTGGGATACTCTAGAGGAAAATAATGAGAGATTCCAGTAACCTCTGCTGACTGGGGAAACAGGAGTTACCTGTAACTATTTGTCTTTCTTATTTCTATTTAAATTTAAAGTTATTAGGTGCAAAGTTTATAGATCAACAGTATATATCCCCTTACATAATGTCAGTCAATTCATATAACGAATGCTAAAGATCATTTTCAGTAGTTTCTGGACTTTGTACATTTTCATACATTCTAACTCTATGTAAGGCTCAGGATCCAAACCCAGTGTGTTTGTGACTTTACTCAGAGATGGCCAAAGCCTTGTTTTCATTACCATTTTCTTCTCAGCATTCCAGTGTCATATATTTCTGCATATTTTTTCAGGATCTTTTTCAAAAAAAGCTTTTCATGAATATAGGAAATAAAGTAGAAAAGATCACGGCAGTGGGTTAAGTATCAGTGACAAATTTAATTTAAGATTTGTTCTAATATTTTCCTCTGTATCCTCAAAAATGGCAATGTACTTTGTCCTATTTCAGTTGGATACCACTTTCATTATAAACTTCTTACTAAAAAAGAGTTAATTTAAGTGTTTATTCCCTTTTTCTATCAGAATCATGCCATTTATACCTTGCTTAAATGTAATAAACAGAATAAATATTGTAGCAGTTTGGAAGATGGATTTCTTATGTTGAAAACAATATAGCAAGCAATAATGAGCTCTGTCTCTGGTATGAAAGTTAGAAACAGTCTTGAAAAGCCCAGGGAGATGAGCATCTGTAGAAGGTTTTATAAAAGACGAATGTTTGCCTTTACCATGACTCACAATGATGCTACTAAATAGAAATCTGCATTTTGCCTAACTGCTAATACAACTGCAGAACTCTACGATTCTGATTTCAAGTAGAGATGTAATTAATGGGTATAATAGACAAAGTCCAAAGGCGCAGCTACATCCTCCATTTATTATTGCAAAAGTTTGTTATGTCACTCCTGAAAACCATTTGAAATCTATGTGAATTTTTGCTTGATGACCAATGGATCCAGGTGAATATGAATCAATTTGAATCAGGTTCCCAAATTTATAAGGTGGGTTTTAAAAACACATCTAAAAGAAATTTCTAGGTTTTCTTCATAGCGAGAAAGCAAAATAATTATTAAAAAATTATTATGAAAAATAATTATTAAAAATTATTACTTTTCACATGATGTCTTTTACATATACTTTACAACTTACTGGCATTCTTCTGAAGAACGGGAATGTTCTTCATAATTATTGTATTCAAAATATAATCTATACAGAATAGTTGTCCAAAAAGTAAGTGCTGGGTACCAATGTCCATTAACGAAAGAATTGTCATTAGAATTTAATAAATGATTTTTTCCCCTGAACCTTGGGGATGTGCAAGTGAACTTTCCCACAGCATCCTTAATTCTGCTAATATCAAGACAAGGTAGGTAGGTAGGTAGATAGAATGATTTAAAAGTGTTGTGCAGCTCCTTCAGACCACATTGAGAAATGTGTCCATGCTTAAGATTGTTCAATGGCCACACGCTGGGTTAATTACAAGCCACAAAAAGGACCACATAACCTTTTTAACCAATAAAAAGTGTCTATCATATTTCAACCTTGTATCTAGTACTTTCATTCTTCACTCAGAGAATTCAGGAGAATTTATGACACTTATTCTCTCACTTGTCCAGCTAAGAAATTCAGTTTTAAATATGTTACTTTAGAGGTCTGAGATTATCATTTAATAGTTATTTACTCACTGGAAGTTTTACATTGTGTGTCTTTTGTCTAGTGTGTCTTTTTACTCTCTGCTAGGCAAAGACAGCCTTGGTCCTCTCCTTAGTTTACACACACTCACATTAAGTCTCAGAGGCCAACTCGAGCCATTAAGACCAGACCTGTTTAAACCAGGAAACTGCTCTTTGATACTCAAATGTTATAATTAATTGCATTTTACTTCCAGCTTTCTTATAGTTTGATGTTTCACTCATAGAATATGAACTTCAATCAAGCCACATAAATCTCTGTCCAAGCCACATCCTCGTGTTAGCACGCCACCTGTCTTGATCTGTGCAAACAGCTGCACCACAATCTTCAAAGTGATTGAATGATTTACCTAAATCTCTGACTTAAAAACATTCATTAAAAGTGTCCTAACACTGTATATAGTCGTTGCGTATATATGCTTGCTTGTTCATCCCAAGAAACTTATTTAATTTTATTTTTTTATAACAACTGTGCACTTGGACCCACACTGGGATCCATGGTTGTTAGGCGGTTGGCAGCACAAACCCACCAGCCTGGTAAGAAGAGAGCCAAAATGTGCTACGCAATATATAGAAGCTACTTTTGCTTCTCTATCGGGTTTGTCATCTGCTAAGCCTTAAATTCCTTCTAGCAGCACCTTTACCTTTTACATATTTCCCCATTATAATGCCAGTTCCTATGCCTATCTTTCTAAGTGAAATCACTTAAAAAAACATAACTTTGCATTGCAAATTGGAACATCCAAGTTCACTACATTGATATCCTCTGAAACCACATAGTGTGATAAAAAAACTTCTTGCTAGTATAATTGATGTTAGGAATATTCAGTAAATCTCAATTCAGCAAGTATTTGTTGAGATGCAATGAGATACAATTCATTCATTAGGGAGATATTTATTGAATGTCCATTAAGTGAAAGGTATTTTTCTGCTATCAGAATGTAAGCAAAGAGTAAGAGGGATACAATTCTCTCCTATAAACAGTTTTGGAAATATGAAGGTTATCAAGCCATGGGGATTTCAAAAGAAATGAGACATTTGCCTAAGCATGAAAAGAGTTTATTCAAAGAAAACAACAAAAAACATGAAGTACTACAAACAGTGTGAAAATGTCATAGTTAAAGCACAAGTGAGTAAAATGATTGAAAATGAAATGTCAGCTACATAATAAAAAGTGCAGTGAAGGAAAATAAACAAAAAATGGATCAATTGTCAGCTAATGATGTGGCGCTTGCTATTTTATATAGAGAGGTAATCCTGATAAAATTGCATATTTGAAATGAGGGATGAATCATGTGAATATTTAAAGGAAGGCCTTTGCCAAGACCAGTAAAATGCAAATATAAATTCCCTCAGAAGAAAAAAAAAATGACATTCTTCCCCAATTTTCTGCATTTATTTATTTTTGAGAAACAGTAAAGATAATGGAGAGACTAGCGAATCTGGAAATGTGAGGAAGCGCCCGGCGCCAGATCACTCAGGTACACCTTGGTAATGACGTCAGGTTTGGAGTATTTCCTGAATGTGATGGAAGCCATTGCGTTATTTTTGTTAAGTGAATTATGTGATCCTACATTTATTTGTGAAAAATAGAAAATGAAGGAGTTGGAAATATTGGGTAGAGGGACAGTTGTTAGCAGTCTGTTGAAGGTGTCTATAGAAATATGATTTATCTAGAATGCTGGAGGTAATATAATGATAGAGTTCAGATACATTTAGAGAGTAAATAGGATACTTACCAATGGCTTAGGTGTGAATTGTTTAATAAGCAAGAAGATCAAAGGTTCAAGAGCAATGGCTACAAAGAAATAATCAAGGAACAGAATCCCAAACAGAAAAGCACTTCAGAATGAGCATGAAACTATAGTGGCATCCAAACAGAGGTGAGTTCCTGGTCTGGTAGAAATAGCAGAGTGGTAAGCCTGACATAGACTTTATAGCCTCAGACAGAAATTAGAAAATCTTTTGATGACAGTATAAGTGAGCAGGACGTAGCAGAGTCTGTAATAGCCTAAAATGCAACAAGAAATTATTTAGTTCAATAATGTACAATTCTTCTCCGCACCAGAATTTTAATGATTAAGTAGCCATGAGCTATAAAAAAGAGAGAATTTATGAAATTTTGGACAATTTTGGATTGATTGGACTCCAATTCTGCAACAGATATCCATAGAATGATAATGTGCACATTTATATATATGTTTGTGTATATATGCATACATACACATATATTTCTCCTACATATATACATATACATAAATATCTACATATATATATCCATGTACTTATATATATTTCCTATCATTCTGTTTCTATAGAGAACCCTGATAATACAGTAGGATAAGAATTATGAGTTGAACTGTCCAAAAGTGATCTTGATCTTATTAAATCTATAAGCCCCTCCTCCAGAATTTCTACACAAAAGAAAAGAATTTCTACACAAAAGTGTGTACTCTCTACAATCTTTGTAAAAAAACCAAAAAACAAAGCAAAGCAAAATATATTTTACTTTACTCTGAGATTTTATATAAAATATATAAATATGTATATTTATATGTATATAAATATATATTATTTTCTTCAGTATATATGGGCATACATAGGTATTTCTGTGTGTGTGTAGTATACATACAAATATATAAAATAAAATAAGATTAGAAATCATGCAAAATGCTAGAAAATATAATAACATAATCAAAGGAAAGATAAATCAATAAAAGCATACCCACTGATGACCAGATATACTTTGTATGAAAGACCAAAAAAAGTTTACATATACATATTTCATTATATTGGTTTAGTGGGTAGTAGTATGAAAAATTACAGAACACAAAATGATAATAAGGTGATATTATGAAAAACTTTAAGCTAATAAGGTCAGAAACTTAAATGCACAAACTCTATAATGCTAGCATAATTCTGACATATGTCCAATTTTGCCATTATTTAAAATAGTTTTGACTATTAAAGATTATCTGAAATTCTAAGTAAATATAAATTCAGCTTGGAATAGCTACAAAATGCTTGCTGAAATTTAGGCTGGGATTCCATTGAATCTGTAGGTCAGTGATTAGACAGATGACATTTTAATAATAGCAATTTCTCCAATCCATAAATATGGTATGTATGTTTATTTAAATAAATGAACACTTATTTATTTAATTTCTTCCTGTAGTATTTTGCAATTTTTGGTAGGTAGGTCTTGCAATTTTTGTAAAATATATTCAACTATTTTATGTTATTTTAGTTTGTTGAATATTATATTTACAAATTTAACATTCTAATTTTTATTTCTGAACAGAAATAAAGTTGATATACTACAGCTTCTTAATTAGCTTATTAATTTTAGGATTTTTAAAAATATTTGTTACAATTTTCCACATGCAAATCAAGTGACTTGCTAATATTGAAAATTTTAACTCTTCTTTTACACACTTTATGCCTTTTATTTCTTTTTTATATTTCCTTATTACAGTGGCTGGGGACCTCCAGTGAAATGTCAAATTGAAGTAGTAATATAGGACATTATTGTCTTACTGCCTTCTTCCTGATCCTAGTGAGATAATGTTCAATATTGCAATAAGTATGATGTTAGCTATAGTTTTTTACAATACCATTCAGATTGTGATAATTCTCTCTTAGTCTTCTGAAAATGCTTTATATTATGATGCTTAAATCTGTCAATATTTTCTCATTTATTGTGATGATCAGTTAGTTTTTCTTCTTTCTATTAATGTGTTATATTACATCAATTGATTGTCAAAGTTAAACCAACTTTGCATTCCTGAAATAAGTCCCTCTTGGTTATAGCACATCATCTTTTATATACTGCTGGATTTTATTTGCTAACATCTTTTAAAAGTGTTTTTACACTATATTCCTAAACCATAATAGATTTAGGTTGCTGTACAAATTAGTCTAATATTTTGGCCTTATGACCCAGCAGATTCAATGTTGTTTGAAGTATTTGTAACAGCTAAGGGTGCTGCATGGAAACTCCGACAGGCTCCTAAAGGAGAATAACAGAACAGACCCTTACGATTTTGGAGCAAAGTCATGTCACCTATTGCAGACAGCTATTCTTCATTGAAAACCAGTTACTGGCTTGCTGATGGGCTGTAATGGAGACTGAACAGTTGAACATGATCTGTGAAGTTTTCATGTAATATGATCTACCTATTATGAACACAGTGTTTTATGGTCCACCCAAATTATATATCTGGGCATGTTCTGCAGCTCTCCATCAACTGAAATTCAATACAAAGAGTAAACCAGGTTTGAGAGGTCTTATAGGCACAAGTAGCATGGAAATCTGGCTCAGTCTAGTAAGCCTCTGTTCCTTCTGTATTAGCCATTTCTCTCTTAATTCAAACATGAAGTTACTTGAGAAAATGATCTAAAACAAGCTGATCAAAGAAGAACAAATTAGGGAATGGTTTAGAGAGGACTATGTATAGCTGTATCATAAAATTTGAATAAATTGATCCCAATTATCAAGTAAAAACAAGGATACTGCTACACACTAAATATATCTTCAAGGGAATTTCTGAGTTGCCAGTTAGTATTCTTTTGCCCAGTGACACAATTTAGTGAAAAGCTGCAGGAACAAAAGGATCGTCTATAGCACAGACTCTTTGGGAACAGAGGTTCTCCAAATCTGATTATAAACACTCTTAGGAATTTAAATATTTTCAGAACACTTTGCATTCTGGTGACTTTTGATGCTCTTTCTTGGAAATGATGACCTCCCTATTTTTCAGAGTAAATACAAATATCTTTTATATGGATAAAGAACACATTCAATCAATGAAAATGAAAAGAATTGTAATAATAAAGTGACAATTTCCTATAGGATATGTCATGGAGCTTATGCAAAATCTTGGCAGTGACATTGGGAAAAGTTATATTTTGATCCTGAGAACTGTGACAATTAGGCATGTATCATAACATACCCCATCACTCTTTTTGACATGGAGGACAATACATATCATCATATCAAAAGAAAGTAGTATTCTAAATATCTCCCATGTTATTATCAGAGATTGGACACATGTTATTTGTTTTTGGAAAAATCCTTCCTTTGAACATTTCTTAAAGTAATAATTCAGAAGAAGGGAGAGGTACAAAGAGAATATTCAATAATTCCATGTACTTAATTTTTGTTATTTCCTCTCAACTAATTTTCTAGTTTGTTTTCAAATAGACATGATGAGGTGGATTTTTATTTTTTTGATGTCACACTGTTTAGATGGAAATTTATTTGAGTTATATCTTCATATGTTCATACTTCTAAAATGGATGAAGACAAAACAAAAGAAATTGAATAGGAAGTTTCTTTTATTACATATAGAAATAGCTACTATTCATACCATCATCTGTTGTGAATGATTCATCTTTGAGATGTAATAAAACATGAAACATTGATGTTAGAGAGTGTGCATCACTTCAATAAGAAGCATAACAAATCGTTGTTTTGTTTTGTTTTGTTTCGTTGAACTTGTAGATATCATTTGACAGACTGAGGGATAAAGACATTAAATTTCTTAAGATATTTCAAAGTAGATTTGTTCATCCTTTTTGTTCACTTTCAATCTGCTTATTAGTCATCATTTTCATTTGTTCAGAATTATCTTATTAATGTATATTTAGCATTGGGAAATAGAGGTTAGTTTTAAACTTCGGAAGTAGCAATAACCAATATAAAGAAACTTACAATTTAATTCATTCCTATTTTCATAAAGGCAATAAGTGGCTTTCTAGCTGTTTATGACATAGTCAACACTAGAAGTAGGAGAATCCAGAGAATTCTAACTATTTAACAGAAAGTATGAGGTGGTTGAAAAAGACTGGAATGTGATTAGGGAAGCTAGGTTCTAGGATTGGCTCTAGAATAATAATAATAATAATTTAGTTAAATTCTATGTACCTCAAATTCTTTATAAATAAGTGAGGAAATTGAAATAATCTTAACCCCTAGTCCATTTCCACTTTGAATGTGTTTGTTATTTATTTCATTTCATATGGCAGAGATAATTCAGAAATCTAGACATCCAGTGAGTAGTTACTGAGCAGCATTAAATAAAGTTGGCACCAAAAACAACACCTAGAGTGATTGGCTCCAATTTCTAGCTACTTTAGTTGTTAGGCCTTCAACTACATTATAGATATTTCAAATAAAAACAGTTATTTTTTGAGAGCTACAGCTGAATGAATATTGGCCACTTTTGCTTTTTACACAAATCTGTGAATATTAATAAGAATTCCTCTATTGAACAGTCTTCCATGCCACATTTTCTCTATTTGAGAAACTTTCCAGTTTAGGAGCATGAAGTGAGAATTAGGGACACTGAACCCCTTCAGGATATTGAATTCAGTTTTTATTTATAAAGTAAAATTAAACATTTTAAATGTGATCATTATGATGGAGTAAGGAAAAACTCCTAGTATGGGGGATTTTTAAATAGTAAACAGGCCTAATTCAGTTATTTTGTCTGTATCTAGGCAAATACTCATTCATTGTATACATCCATGCAGCTAATATAAAGGGAGAGACATTTGAATGAAATGAACAATACCAGAGAAAAATAAACATATCAATATAAAATAAGCATGATTAGAGAAAGCTTTGCTTAGCAAAAGCAAAGAGTAAATTCATTACATCAAGTGTCTGGGACAGGGATAAAAAGAGACAATATGTTCAATACAGAAGAGTTATTATTTTACTGCCTTAAATTGTTTTTACCTTCTCCCATAAAACCTGCTATTTTGTAGAATGGCACTTGGACTTTTTGCATTCCATTTCCAGATGCTAGCTTTCTCCTTTGAACATGGTATGAGGCTTTCCCTCTTATTAATACACAAACAAGGCTCACATACATCAGCAGCCAGCCAGAGAGGACTGTCTTGGAAATAGTTTCTACTAATCAAATGTAAACTGTTTACCCAAAGGACATCATTCTCTTTGTGCATGTATGTATGTGTTTATGATTATACTAGAAAAAAGGCAGCTGCGAAAAAGGATGACTTATTGTCCTTCTATTGTATAGTTTGAAGGATATTTCTGGTAGTGTGACTGTGGGACAAAGTGTTATCAAAAAGGACTTTCTTCATAGACATTTTTCATTTTGTTCTAGAGTTTAATTGGTGGAGATAGGACTCTTGGAAGTGGATTTTGGTTGTTTGGAAAGCACTACAGAAGGAA